GGCCGACGAAAAACTTGGTCGACAGAGACGGTTCAGATTCATCAATCTTCAGTGCACGAGATACGTGATCATGGAGACTTTGAGTCATGTCGGGGAGAAGAGAAGGTTCTGCGGACAAGGACAGGGCACTGGGGAGCTTCGAATATGCATTCAAAAGTGTTACCTCCGTTTCCCCCGAGCGCTGGGTTTTCAAAGTCTTCTTGATTTTAGCTTTCCAAGGTGCCGGGCAAGAGATGTAGCCAGGCTTCGAAACTTCTGATGTGATGCAGCCGGCTTGATTTAATCGAAGCAAGATCAAGCAAAGTTCGTATTCCCGCTCCTTCCATGAAGTGTTGACAAACCTATCAAAGAATTAGTAACCATCAATTAGAGGGTATACATATTGGGGTTTTTACTTCTGGAAGTAAGGAAGTATCACGCTATGAAACCTCTCTGCGCCCCATTCCGAAAAAAAGGCGCAAAATGACAGGAAGTAGTTTGAGAGAGGGTCGCTGGTCACGGTTTCCATAATCGTACGCATGAATGGCAGCATCTCATCCATAGGAGAAACTTGGAGGGCATATGCCACTGCGGTGAGGAGTTGAGGCGTCGCCTCAGCATACGCACCAGGCGCAGCGGCGGCGGTTTGTAGTAGAAGTAGCAAGGATTGGTGTACATGTTTCCAGTTCTTCACTCGCAAGCCCTTGCGAGTGGAAACACAGACGAAGGTTAAGCGGCAACATGCCATGGCGCATCGCTTGTCAGCTTTCCTGCAGCGAGCTTCAATATGCGATTTTATCGTGTCCACTATGGGCTCAAAAGTGTCGGGAGTTGTGTTATGGATGATGTTGGTCAGGATGCCGCTTGCAACATCCAATCCTAAGCTACTACGCAGGTTGTCATCCGTAGACATGTTTTCCAGAATAGCGCTGAAGATATCAGTGCCATTGGAATGGAGACCATACTTGACACCCTTTATGGCGTCAGAAAACATGGCCATGAGCCCTTCCTTATAGATCTCAACATTCTTATTGTCCACTGCCGTCTGATGCAAATCGTCGAGTAAGAATGAAATCGCACGTTGAAGAGGTGTAGTGTTCTTATAATAGACTAATCCTGCCTTGCGAATGAGAAATGACATTGACTCTGCGGCAAACCGTGCCACAAATGGCTTCTGTCGCTCTTTTCCGAGGTATGGGGTCATGATGCCTAGAAGCTGTCTTAAGTCCGGAACCAAGAGCCGGGAAAGAAATTTGAAGATCCATGCAAGACATGTAAAGCTCCATTCGACCACCTCAACCTCAGGGTGAGTAGCAGCGACGGAGGCCACGAGGGTCACTGAAGTAGCGAAATGCTTCTCAAACTTCGCACCAAGGTCCCTGGCAAACTGGGCAAGAAGACTGAGGAGCGGCTCCATGGACAGATGGTCCCTCTTCTCAATAAATTCCACCAATAAATTCATTATCTTTTCCTCGTGGTACAGGATCTGAACTAAACTCTCACATAGCGGGTTAACTCGACGGGCAAACTGCACAAAATTGTCGGACAGGTTCAACTCGGTCCAGTGATCGAATGCGGATCGGAAATGTGACGAGTTGTCGTCTCCTTCATCTTCGCCAAAACTCGGCCGGCGCACACGGTGAATCGGATCGATCTTTAGCTTTGCGACACGCTGCGAAAACCCCTCGAACCGATAGTTCTTTGTCGTCTCCGTTCCTTTCTTCACACGCTTCACGGGCTTTGCCCGCGAAGCTGACGACGCTGCGACCATCTTTGGGAGCGATGGTGATGAGACGAGGCAGCGCCGTTCGAATATGGTTGTATTCCAAGTATTGGAATATGTTGATAGTATGTATACCTCTAGACAAAAAAATTCATCGGCGCCGCAGTAGCATTATTCCGTGCGGAGATTAGCGGCGCTTGCAGAGAATATCCTCTAGCCTGATAAGGCTAATCACAGTCACGTGGAGATTAAGCATGGTCCAAGCTCCTCAGACCGTTTTTGGCAAAAACTGTCGCATGTGCAGACGCGACGATAACGACGAGGCGGCATTGTATTATTTGAAGTCCATAGAGTAGCTTGCTTTATATAGCACTCGAATCTTCTATAAGCGTTGCGCTAGTTCAACCTTGTCTTAAGTGACGGATTAACTGCTCAGAATACTATGGTCAGCTTGACTCTTGCATCATAGTACCGAAGCCGAACTACAAACTGAATAATGGCCTCCAAAATGTGAGTTTGGAAGCTTTCTCCTACATAATCCGCTCAATCCACTAACACATACTCAGAATTGTCCTTGGTGGCGTGAACTGCCAGCTCCGAGAAGTATTCACGAAGCTGGCCAAACTTCATGTGAAGCAATCATTCTCATTTGCGATTGTTGTCGGCGACCTATTCGGCGACTGCTCGTCAGAGCAGGAACTGGATGAGATCTCTGCGCTGTTCCAAGGGAGTATCAGCGTGCCACTCCCGACCTACTTCACCTTGGGTAGCCGGCCTCTTCCCACCAGGGTGATTGAAAGAATTGAGGCCAACGACGAAGTCTGTCCGAACCTCTATTTCCTGGGCAAACGCGGCACTCTAAAAACCTCTGAGGGCATCCGGCTCGTCGCTCTAGGCGGCAACCTGGACACAGGAAGCCAATCCTCCGACAAATATCACCCAAGCTACACAGAATCAGACGCCAGGGCGCTCTACGGTGCCCACAGCGCCGATATCCTCATCACGCATCAATGGCCGAAGGGGATCCGCACGCGCTCCCAAGTCCCGATCCCAGAGGAGGCAAGCAAGCCTGAAGAAGTGCAATGCATCGCAGACCTCTCCTCAACCCTGAAACCTCGCTACCACCTCTCATCAGCGCCCGAATTCTTCTACGAACGAGAACCCTTCTTCCACATGCCCCCAGAAGACAACCCAGACGCCAAACCATTAACCCGCTTCATCAGCCTCGCATCCTACAACAACCCCTCCAAGCAAAAATGGATGTACGCATTCACGCTCGACCCCAAAGTCCCCCACCCATTAACAATCCCCAACGGCGCAACCGCCTCCCCGCTAGCCCCCGTCCAAACCAAACGCAAACCCCTCTCCAGCCAAAGAGAATCCTACAGCCGCTTCGCCGTCGACGACGAGGGCAGCAATCGCCCTCGCAAGCGTGCCCGCGGCCCTCCGCCAGGCCCCGATCAGTGCTTCTTCTGTCTCTCCAATCCCAACATCGCAACCCACCTCATCACCTCCATCGGAAACGAAGCCTACCTCACAACAGCCAAAGGCCCCCTCCCCACCTCGAAGACCTTCCCAACCCTTGGCTTCCCAGGCCATATGCTCATCATCCCCTTCACCCACACCCCAACCCTCTCCAGCATCCCAGACGAGCAATCCCGCCTCGCAACCTACACTGAAATGCACCGCTACCGCCAAGCCCTCCACTCCATGCTCAAATCCAAAACCAACGCCTCCCTCGGCGCCGTAACCTGGGAAGTCAGCCGCGGAAACGGCATCCACACCCACTGGCAATTTCTCCCCGTCCCCGGTGACCTAATCACCCGCGGCCTCGTAACCGCCGCGTTTAAAGTCGAGGCGGAGAACCTCAAATACCCCAAGTTCGAGTCTCCGTCGTCCAGCGATCCCAGCGCCGAACCGGGCGATTTCTTCCGCGTCTGGATCTGGGGTCCGAGCAAGGACACTGACACTGACGCCTCTTCAGGTGAGACCGAGAAAACGCTGCTCTTGCCTCTTGGTCCCGAGTTCTGGTTTGATCTCCAGTTTGGACGCAGGGTTATGGCGAAGTTGATGGAGCTTGAGGGGCGGATTAATTGGAAGAATGATGTGCAGTCGCAGGACGAAGAGGAGGCTGATGCTACTGCTTTTAAGGATGCGTTTAAGGAGTTTGATTTTACGTTGGAATGAGCGGGAACTAACGCGGTTTGAGTTGAATTTGTAATTTAGTTGGTTATAGACTCCTTTTTCTGGTGTGTGTTGTACTGTATTGTTTGTATATTTCCTGAAGCTCTCAAAGTCTAGCTAGTATTTTAGTATAGGGCCAGAAATACACGGGCAAAATGGAAGGTCGTTAGTCTAACAGCGATATATCTGAATGCTCGGTCTATGGATGCGGTACTTCACTATACAATGTAGTTAGTTAACGTGATCGGTAAGCGAGCGACGTATGTAAGCGGGTGACGCGTCATCCATGTTTTCCATGCGCCTTACTTTCTTAGGGTATTAGAACACCAACTATACTACCAAAAATGCCTAAATTGTCAAAATCACGCGTTGAGCAGGAAGGCAGGGTCCTACTTGCTACATTAGTTATAAAAAATCATGAGTTTAGCAGTGTTACGAAGACAGCTAAGATTTTTAATATATCTGAGTCTACTCCCTACACTATGTAGGTATTTGAAGGGGGTCTCTTTTAGGGGTAATCCACGTGCTAATAGTTATTAATTGACTACTGGTGAAGAGGAATTGATTAAAGAATAGATTCTATCGCTAGATAAACATGGAGTACCTCCCCGGCCTGCACGTGTACAAGAAATAGCCAATATCCTGCTTTCAAAGCGTGATACCATATCTTCTCCTATTACTGTAGGAGAAAAATAGGTATACAACTTTACTGGATTTATATAAATAGTATAGGAGATGTAAAACAGTACGGAGTAGAGAAAACTTGTAAAAGTGGCAAAAAGCAGACGCGATACTCAAAACAGTCTGCACTAGACCGCAACAGGTAGTGGCATTCCTGTATGTGACAGGCGGTGGTGGCGGCAGAACGGCGGTTCAATGGGAGCCGTTTCTGGTGCCCCGCTAACCGTCGCAACTGATATAATTATTTTATTGATAAAGACCCTAATAGTTCAGCCGCGGACAGAATTGTTATGTGAGGTGCGGCGCTCGGTCGGGAACCACATTAGTAGGCAGTCACTTGACATAAAGCCAGCACTTGTTCACCGCTGCCTGATCACTTTCCCACTCTCACACCAAAAGCCATCTTCAATCCCATCCACACCACCGGTAGATGATGAAGTCGAATATCCCGCACTGGCTGTCTCTTTGTGTCGCCGCACTAGCTGTTCTTTGCATCGCCAAACCCGTACAGCAAAAGCCTCTTGTCAGCGTGGACGTTATAGTCAAAAAAGACAAGGTCCCCGGCCACAACAATGCTATATATGATACTGTGCCAAAAGAAGACCAGCTATTAGATATCGAATTCCTTGAGATTGCCCCGACGCCTATTGTCGCGTAAGATCCTCTCCTTTATATACTCTTTAATAATAATATCCTGATATTCTGAAGCGACCGCGTTTTTTTTGTCTATCTGCGCGGCGATTTATCTGAATCCAAAAAGAAGAAACTAGGACTCTTTGATATAGTTCTTATCGATGCAACTCTCTCTGTGAGCGCCTCTGTTATTTACCCGGATGGTAGCTACATGGAACCAAGGTCCCTTACAATACCGTTAAAAACCATTTCTATCAACGATGCAGCCCATCTTATCATTCGCGATTCCAATGGTATCCAGGTTGACTACCTATCTAGTAGTGGGCGCAACGATATATTGCTAGATTTCCAAATTCCTGCAATGTTTTTGAAGAGCGGTATGTGGACTTTTAAAGTCGATGGCAGACTTGGAGATAAAGACAATTTATGTCTATTTGCTATGTCGTTGACACAATGGTTAGACGGGGGGCTTTGAGAAGTAGGGTATTTAGAATAGTCTATAGGCTCAATGTTCTTATGTAAATCATATATGGGCATTTTACAACTGGGTTAGTACTCTGCTCTGCGTCGGTGGCCTCTAAGCTGTCTATCTTGTACTTGGGCTATCTTCTTGATCTCTGGGGTCTTCGCCCCGTCTCTATAGTCTCTATAGCATTCGTGCTGTCTACCCGCCTATAATCTATCTATCTCTCTCCCTACTCTCTGGGAACTGCGAAACCGTGCCCTCGCTGCCTTTACTCGCCCGCTGATTGGCTGTATTTCTGTGTTCATGCGTGCGCTTAGATATAACAAGTCGCGGACGTGTACAACTCAATCCTCTGTATCACAAGAATTCCCTCTCTTTTCTCTTTGGTGGACTTTTTGTTTTCCCTTTCCCATCTTGGCACCAGTGAGGCAGTATTACTGATCCTTTTCGGGAAGTTAAGTAGGGGTCCTACTTTGGGTTCAACTAAGAACCTGAAAGCGCTTCTAACAAATATTAAGATTTTGAACTTGGTCACGATTCCCTAGTGCTGGGAGGAAGAGATTTAATAGATTTATCTAGCAACTTTTCTCATCCCATTATCCTATAGTACACAGCATCATAGTTACATCAAGAGAAGGAGTTCGCGCGTCCAAGCTCATCCTGCGTGGGTAAAAGCAAGATATATATTTACAATGGCTGACTAGCGCGTTGGGTGCTATATATTTCTGCTTGTACCCTCTAGTTTTTCTTGTCAAATATAAAGTAATTACTCGTTCCCAACCTTAGAGCCTGGCGGTTCAGGTACATCTGAGTTAGAGTAATGCCTCGCATTTAAGTCGCGATAATATAGTAAAATGTAGCGGCGGTATATCGGGGGTACTGGATTCCAAACGCTCGGCAAGTAAACGGGCCGAAAATGCGTATATAGATAGTGCTATAGTACTGTACTGCAGAATTATTATTAATTTTGTCTTTAGCTTCTTCGCCGAAATTCTTTTGTAGCTACCATATCTGTAGAGCTATGTGCCAAGAATATTATTAGGTAATATAGTGCTAGTTACATCGGGAGTATCAGTGCCAGTTGAAATTACTCGATAAGGAGTCTCGTCGCCTGGAAAATCAGCAGGCAGTACAGCTGAAGTGTAGCGTAGTAGCAAGAAGGATACTATAAGGGCTGCAGGGAGATCTATGTTGACGGGCTGTATAGAGTGAAATTCGGAGGAAATCCGACAAAAGTAATGACAAACTATCCCGGAGGTTGAATTCGTTGATTCGATTGATTATGTTACTTGATTCTATTAATATGACTGTGGGAAATTGCTTAGGAAGAACAACAGTGCTAGGCCTAACTAGGCAGTGTCAACAAGTAATAATGATATAATATAACCGACCCTTTATAACTAAGGACCCCGCTGGCTTATGCTCAGGACGGCTCAACGCGCAAATAGAGGAACTACCACAACCGCGCAAGCGAGGTGTCTAGTCTTGCTATCGTAGGCTGTTGTTGGATACCTACTGGATATCCTTAATATCGGGGGCAAAATACCTTATACACCGGGGCTAGACACGGCAATGTCTTGAAAGGTTACATTCATTCATATTTACTCTAACCTATATAGTCATCGTGCAGTCAGATATTAGGAGCCTTCGAGGATGCCAAGATAGAATTCGGCTTCGCTTCGGTATATATATTGCATCTTGAGGTCTAGGGTAAGGAGATATTATCACATACTAGCAAGTGACTAAAAAGATAGTACAAGGTCTATAGATTAATTTATATTTCCTTTAAAGTAACACCATGGTACTGTCGACCGAAGGCCTCCCGATAGCTGCCCTAAACTAGCGCCCAGCCACAGCGCCGCAAACGCTCCGAATCGCCCGGACAGCCCCCAATTCCGCAGATATTCGGAATGCCAGACCTTTCGCTGTTTTCACTTATAACCTCTATATCCTCCAGCTCACAGGTGCGATCCCGTTAACTTAGTTATAAGGGTCGGTTACTTGATCTCTGGACGCATCATCTAAAGTACTGTACACCTTACGGGGTAGGCCTTGACGTAGCGCTGACTCCAATCTAAGTGTCTACTCGTTGTTGCTGGACCTTATATTAATCAATTAGGAGAGAGTTCCTGGACCAGCACTGAGCAGGGGTCTCCGTAATCCCTCTTAGGGTCTTTCTCTGTTGGACGTGACATTGCGTATAATTACTAACTAGTAGCCTACCAAACAATCTCTGGCAGAGATTGCATATGGACCAGAAAAGTGGCGAATAGTAGTAAACAAACCATTCCGACCCATTAGAGCGCTAGAGGGCGCGATAACCAATGTCAAAATAATGCCAAGGCAGCTAAGCTGGGGTCAAGCCTGGAGATCCACAGAGCCTCATGAACAGCAAGTCGGAAGTTCTCAGCTGGAAGTTATTTAATATCGACCCGGTCTCGCACTAAGAAGGGAACGGCGCCACCTTAACGCCTTCCTAGGATCTCAGTCCGGAAATTATGGCATGATTTTCTGATTTGGCCCCCATATTCTTCCACGTTACTGGCCACGACTCGAAGGGCGCTTTGTTAGACGGGTACCCGGGGGTTCCAAATAGGAACTGCACGGGCCTACGCCTGGTGTAGAGGAGGTCGCTTAGCTAGATTATGAAACCACGCCACAGTATCCATTTGATAAGTGAATCTAGTCTATCGTGCATAGCCCTTTGGTCAAGGGAGCGAGTATTGATCCTTACAAATAGCGAGATTTCTGAATTCACTCATGTTCCCGCGCGGCGCGGCGCAGACCACACACCCTAGTCATCCCGGATAGCGCGGCAAGGCTTGTTCCTGAAATCTCTAAGAAAGATAGCGCAGCGGAACTAGATACTGTAAGAATATCCAGTAATCTTATTCAAAAGCAAATTTCACAGCGTCTGCCTATATCAAGGAAAAACGGAAAATGGGTAATTGTATTACCCGGCCAACGATTAGGAGGTAAGGAACTGTGTAAGGATCAAGAGTATTATCACTATACCCTTAAAATTAGAGCGAGGATATTAGCTACAACTTAGCTTTAAACTAGATACACTACCCTATTTATTTTACCAGTTACCCGGCACCGACCGTCACTCTACTTAGCTTTGGCTCTAATATCTTCCGGTCACTTAGAAGTGGAAATAGAAAGAATAGAAACACTAAGATGATCCAGCCCTCCATAATATAGGTCGCTTATGTATCAATACTCTTTTATTATCTGGGAGCTGCCAATATTGTTTCTGTTGGTAAGGCATTATTCCAGTCTTATATTCTACCGCTGTCCCTAGTTACTAAGTCTCCCGGACTGCTAACTATGCTGCTTCATCTACCTATTGAAGGCTTCATCTAAGGTCACATTATAAAGTCCCAGCATAAAGGAATGACTCACTATACTATAGTACTAAGGTTATCAATCTCTGGTCCTTCCTCTAGATATACGTGGCAAATCTTAGAGACCTTAGTCCGGTAATAGTTATATATAAGTCAATAGTAAAAATACCATACATACCTCAACGCCACGACAGGCCTTGGCGAGGCTCTAAGTAGGTGTCCAGAAATTGGTACACTTAGCTAGTACGTAAAAACACATAGATAATGGTTGTAGCCTTCATATTGCCTCCTGAGTTGCGTTCCAAACTATAGCCCACTAGGCTGGCTATAGATTCGGATTTTGGTCTATTGGTTGTAACCGTCACATCGCCTTCCGAGTTAGTGGCTGACCCATCATACGCAAGGTTGAGTAGAGATTCAGATTTTGGTCTAGTGGTTGCAAATTTCTGCTACGGGGGTTCAGGGTAAATACAATAAATAGTCACCATCATCGCCATGTCTCCAGAGCTGCCACTCACGACTTCTTTTGCACTTGGGGTTATTCAATAGCACCATGCATCTGAAATATCTCTACCTTTGGGGCTTCTTCGCGGTCTCAGGCCTGGCTGATGACATCAACTTTTCTGCCGCTGCCCAGTCCATATCTGCTGTACTGGCCGATCCCACGTTTGTGCCTTATACAAAGCCCAACCAGAAAATTGAAGAGTTCATCGCCCTCGGTGATTCGTACACCGCAGGTACAGGCTGCAATGGTAACGATGAAATAATGGGAGGGGATGCACTTCGTGGGAAGCGAGCCTATCCCATGCAAATGTCTCAGGACAAGGACAATTGGGCTTTTGTCAACAACGGGGACGAGACTCTCCCTCGTTTCAGCTTCCACGCCTATACTGGTGACACATCACAAGAGCTGGTCGTCGAGCAACTGCAGCAGGGAGCTTATGAAGATAAGCCGGATCGACCACGCGGCCAGCCATTTGGCAAACCGCAAGTTGCTGTGTTGACTATTGGAGGCAATGATGCAGGGCTATCTTCGTAATTCTCCCCATGTGGTTCCCTGCACAGTGCAAATTGTTCACTGACCGCTGGAAAATAGTATATTGAACGACTGCATCTACAGAGCGTGGCTTCCAGGAGACTGCCAGACCACGCTCAATGCCCTCCAGCAGGAAATTGACAACGGGAATCTTCGTGACAAAGTCAACTACGCGATGTATCAAGTAGCACGTGCAGGGCGGGAGGCCGGCGGCGCGAATCCCCGGGAAAGCTTCCAAGTGTATGTTCTCGAGTATCTCACCTTCTTCGACGATGCCCTGGATCCCGTATGCAACGATTATACCTGGGCATATTTTCCATCATGGATGACCGACCAGCCACCCCTCACCCAGGAGCTCCGCAAACAGCTTAATGATATGACCCGCAAGGTCAACGCGGTCATCAAAGCAGCAGCTCAAGATCTCCAGAGAATGGGCATCATATATGTGGAGGGCCTCCAAGATGCTTACAACGGCCACCGCTTCTGCGAACCGGGAGCCACCAAAGAGCAGACAGAATCCAAGGTGTGGTTCTGGTCACAATACAGCAAGATCAATACGCCCTCTGAAGGCCCCGGCGACCCCAATGCGGCTGCGGTGACAGGTTACGTTGACCCCGCCCAGGAACTGCTGGACTTTGTCTTCCCCGGCCAGAACAAGGTCATCCCCACAACACAGACCGCCGACACCTCGCCGCCGTGGGAATGGGATGGCGCTGAAAAGTATGCGGACTTCGACTCGCTGCTGAGAGCTATTAGCGCCGCCGCCGGGGATGACGTCGAGGCCACCGTACGACCGCCGTTCCCTGTACTCCGCTCGTTCCACCCCAAGGGCACGCCATATACAGAGCACGCCACGGCGCTGTTTGCCGCCATGGCAGATAACAGAGCAGCGGTTGCAACTGGCGGTGAAGGGCAGCAGATCGCCATTGCGTCGTATATTAACCCCCTCGGAGACCCTGCTTCATGGGAACGACTCCTCGCATATGACAGTAAGAAGATCAGTGTATTGGTTGCTAATATTCTAAACAGTCCAGATTATGTAGTTAATAATTCCTGGAAATCAGTGATTGAGCAAGCTGCGAATCAAGACAAAAAGATCCTCGGTTATATTCGGACTGGCTATCTTAGCGTAAATCAACAGCAATTTACCACTCGACTAGACTCGAAAGATCTTACAGACTGGGCTTCACAAATTGAACAAGATATCGACAAGTGGTTTGAGCTTTATAGTACTAGTCTCGGCGGTATCTTTTTCGATGAAGGCTAGCCAGAATGCGGTCCCAATAATATCTATACTGATCTATACACATATATTAACAAGTATACAAAGAACAAACACCCCGGCGCATTTACAGTACTCAACCCAGACTCGCCAATAGCTCAATATTTTGAAAATACTATAGATACACTGTTGACATTCGAGAGCAGCTACAAGACTTATACAAGCTCATATATACCTAATAATTAGACACCAAAGAATCCCCGAAAGATATGGCATATTATCTACAAAGTCCCACAGAATTAGATTGCGACTATTGCTGCTCTTGTCTCGAGCCGCCATATAGGGTTACTGGAAATTACCGATAATAACCAACCCAATCCTTACGATAATCTACCCAGCGAGACTTATATGCAAGCACTCGTCGGCGCTATACCAGATAGCACACCTCCTATCCATAATACAGCTAAAGCTACTAGCTCCTACATTGCCGGTCTTCCAAGCAATATCGCTGTCTCCTCTTTGGACTATACCTCCGTCACCCTCACCTGGTCATCAGTCGCGAATGCCCTTGGCTACACAGTGTATAAGGACAGTACACTGGTACTGGAGCTACCAGCCTTATTAACCCGAGCTACAGTCGGCATACTCAACCCCGGATCCTCTGATATCTCCTTCGAGGTACGGACGGTCTTAGCTTCAGGCAGTAGCGGTGGCTCCTCCCGAACAATCTTGGTAAGTACGAAAAGCCTACCGACCGACAGTCCAATCGCCAATGTTGGCTATACACAGAATGGCGACACTGTTGTCTATAAAGCCGATATCCTGGTGCCCTACGCATTTGTGCGGCTCTTTATCGGCATCAAGCAACCCGATCCTGGAATCGGTCGCGGGTGGCCGATTCAAGTGCCAGGCGTGGATACTCAAGATATTGCGCACCACAAGATCGTTAACTACATAGTCGAAGACAATGACTTTTACTCCGGCTTCTACAAATACACAGACGCTTGGTACGAGACCACCACGGCCAATGCGGATTGGGCGTGGACCTCTATCGGTGTCGCGCCTCAATCCCAGAGTAGTTACACGTATACGTGGAACGTTCCGTTCGCTGGCACCGACACTGTAGCCAGCGAATATGTAATACAAGGCCAAGGGTATGCCCCGATTAAGAATATCTTTATGGGAACCCTTCGCTGGTTTGATACTATCTGACCGATAGCTGGAAGATAGAGTGGAAGGTTGGACAAGTCAGTTTAAGTCGTCTTAAATAGTAGGCGGCAAAAAGAATAGCAAGGCTGGTAATTTGTATATTAGTTATTTTTATCCAATACTGGATGCTAGAGTCAAGAGCTTGGCCTTTATTACTCTAAATTTGATACTGTGGATACAATACAGATAAAGCATCTTCGCTTACCTATAAATCAACTCAAGAATAAATATACTTCTGCATCACAGCGTCATGGCTCATAATGCGACATGACTGGGTTCAATATCAGGTGCCGCCCCCTTGATTATGACGGAATATAAGGGGCATTTTCAGGGTAGATGTCGACCACCCAACTACATATAATTGCCTTACTCTTTTGACCGGTCAATAGAGCAAGAGCTTATATTTAGGGAATTGTTATTTGGACCTCACGTTAAGCCTATAAAGGAAGGCATAATACTATGTATTGGTAATACTACAATATAAGCGGGACTATTCTAGAATAGGAATATAAAACCCTCAAGGTAGTTAACTAGTTAGTTAGTAACATTGGCTTATCTAATAAGACCAAATTGCGAACATACATGGATATTGTGAAACTATCATTGTCATCCAAAGAACATAAAAGTTGAGTTTCCTATCAACGTTCATCGAATAGAACATGTACATACAAACACATGAAGTGAGGAAGTCATAAAACGGTCTTTTCCAACGCCGGGCCAAACAGAAGTGAAATGTAACAGCAGAAAAAAATAAAGTCGAAAGAGAAACCCACAATAACTCCAACTGATTGTTGTGATCAACGTACATTTCTGTGATCAACACTCATAATGTACGGCGACACCGTTCAGCCGGTTGGTTCTGTACAGAAAGATAAAAATGTCAAAAATCACCATAAAACTGCCCGTCAAATGAATCAAACGCATCATATCCTTAAGAGCAAAAACGGGTGGTGATATTCCACGTGTAAGCGCAATTTCCACACACTGTACAATGGCGCCAACCATATCGATTTTACGTAGAAGCGAATATAAGACAAATCGACCTTGACGTAGACACGCAGACGTCAATGTGCTGCCGTGGTTAAATCAAGAATATACCTCAGCTCTATCATTTACGATGCTTATACATCCCTGAAAGAATTGGGAACGGGCTTCCGCCCACTTTGTAGCAAGGTCGGGGGCCTGCCCGAGTCTTGTACTGTTTCATGAGGAGCGGGACTTGATGTGAATGGTGGAGGGGGTGACGAAGGAATGGAGGGAGACATATCCCTATAAACCGGTTCGGTGTTGAACGAAGGAGGCATCGCCCTGTAAGTGGGCTCAGAACCAGGTGGAGGCATTGCCTGGTACGCGGACTCATGGCTTGGAAGAGGCATCGCGTGGTAAGCCGCCTCTTGGCTAGGGGGAGACATCGCCCTATAGACAGGCTCGTGGCTGGGGGGAGACATTGTCCTGTAGGGTGGGTTCGCGTTTGCAGGTGTCAATGCTCTGTAGGGAGGGGCTACGTTCGCAGGCGACATCGTCCTGTTGATAGGTGATTGGTTGATGGCAGGGGAAGGTTGCCGATAAGGTATCGGACGAGCGCCATCCGTGGATAGTGCCATCCCAGGTGTTTGAGTGATGGCTGGAGATGGCTGACGATAGGGCGCGGGAGTGGCCTCGGCGGACGGTGAAACGGCCGTGCCAATTGGCATATAATGCGGTTGGGATCCATAGGCCTGAGAATAATCACCATAGGGTTGTTCGTATGGCGAGATCGGAGACGGCCCGCCGGGGGAACGAGCGTGATACGCGCTCTGGTCATCAGGGTAAAAACTGGAAGAAGTAACAGCTGTGCCTGTCCTGATAGGCGGTGGCCCCATGTAACCGGCTCCGTTTGGTCGCGGTGCAGATGGCATTCGACGCGGTCTTTGGTTTGCAAGGTTCAAAGGCTCCATCTCCATTGCATCTTGGTGATGATCAGTCTCTTCGACCCTCTTGGTTACGGCACTATCCCACGTGGGCATCGCGGGCAACGCGTCTTCATTGCCCTTTGAGACAGCAGGACTCGGGGGCGTGTCAAACCGTGCGACCTGCGCTCCACGATAGGTAGGTAGAGAAGGGGGTGGGGGTGGCTGATAAGGATTGTTTGCCGGCAGCGGTGGAGGTTGATTGTAAGGGTCATCCAAGTACTTTGGTTCCTTCTTTCGGCGGGGAGACGGACAACAGCATGAACAGCATCCACAGCATTTGCAACATTGGATGCCGCAACACAGGCAGTTTATAATGCACGCCAGAATAGAGATAACAATGACTGCACCGACAATGATCGCGGCGATGACGGGCCATCTGCAGCATCCGAGTCAGATATGGAAGTACTAGAAGAAAATAATAGAGCAACATACTTGCAATACGATTTGGCCATGCAATTATCCCAACTAGATAATGTTTCCGGGGCGGATTTGAGATCGCTCACAAAGTCCCGCGGCCATATCGGGAATGGCGTTGTATCCACCGGACTCATTCTGGTGGAATATGAATCCTGAGATTGGGTTATCCGACCCCACACGGTCAATAGTACGGGCTATATACGATGGTTCTTTATCCAGATACCACTTTGTTAAGGCACAAGTACACGGTATGCGACGCACACTTGAGCGTAAAGCATGTGCTGCTTGCGCAACGAAGTGGAACCAAGTTCAGAATGGGAGGTTTAGATGGTCACGGTCGCATAAGTCACCGATCAACGACTGCCCACGGGACTCAAGTTTTAGTTTCTTTTCGCTGAGTATGATTCCCTCTTGCATCGGCAATCAAAAGTAAATGAGTGGTCCGGTTTGCGACGTCGGTGAAATGTTGAAAGAATGCAGGTTTTAATCTTGGTAACGCGGAAATTCGAGGTACGAGATACTAATTCCTCTTAGAAGCAGAGAAAGTCGCAATCCAACATCAACAAAAAAGGAAGGATTGGAAGAAATCAATATTTCTTAAGGAAAGTGCTTGGTAGTTGGTGATATCAATGCACCGCCTCCAGGAGGTCACCAAAACAGCAGAGGGAGAGAGAGGGAGGGAGGGAGGGAGGGAGAGACTAGGTGACAATAATTCGAATGAAAGATACGCGGGCGGAGAAGGAAAGAAGAGGTTCAGTCGCCCGCGAGAACAAGGTTGAAAGGGAGGGTGGAAAGGAAGGGAAGGGAGGGGAGATGAAAATGTTGGACAAGGGGAGAAAGAAAGAACAATTATTATTTTTTTTTTTTCCCACAGGGATCAGCGCATGGAAGAGAGCCAAAAACGCTCATCACAATTGCCTGAGATGGAGAAGAGGTTCGGTGGGTAGCCGATCCATTAAAAAGTAATCTCGGTGGTTGAGGAACTCAGGTACGGGAAGTATCCATTAATACACTTACACTTACAACTTTAACTAGTACAGGTACCTCCTCACATTGTAATCTAAAACAAGGTACATACAGGTACTCTGCCTTCTTGCCCCCCACCTCTCACCCTCATGGCTGTTGATCTACCAGTACTTAGTAGTACTTCTCGTCCACAATCATTGGCAGTCGCAGTGTCCACTTGGCTCGTCTAAATGGTACGCCAGTACGAATAAAGGTACCGAGTACGGCGTTCCTGACCTTGATATGGAAACCTATACGGGAGGTAGCAGACATTCGTGGGTCAATGCGATAGTCGTTAAATGTCGTTGAATGAGGTTAAATTACTTTATTGGAAAAAAATATTTCGGTGCCCCATACTTTGTTTCATGCACAGTGAGCCAGTTCGGCCCCCCAAGCCAACGAACCGAAGCCAAAGAATTCTACGTTCCTTCATGGGCCAATGGTTCTGCAGGAAATTAGTTCCTCTTTTTTTTAGCGTCTTCTCCGCTAATGCAATTACGAGTCGCGCACAAGGCTCTAGAGTTCCCCTTCCCAGTACTAACTACAGAACGGTACTTACTAAGGAGTAGTAGTAGCGAAACAATTGTTATCTTCATGTCTACTGAGAGTCATAGTGAAGTACACCGCCGACGCCTTGCTAGCTCTTCAGAATGCTTTGGAATGTTGCAAACGAGCCAGGTTCGCAAAGGAAATGCATGCACCTCGTACTGCAAGCCTTAACTTTGAAGTAATTAGAATCGTAATTGCCTGGGTGGTCATTATAATAATAAAAAGAGATTATCCATGTATGCTAACAAACACAAAGGAGTTCATAGACCCATCAAACATGCTCTCGGCTGCATCCTCCTTGCTGAGTATTGACAAAGAAGCAGGGGTACAGGAGATTCAAAAAGATGACACCAACGCCTGTGATAACAGAATCCGAATCATGCGATCATTTCGAGTTTTGGATTAAGATCTCGTTCAACGACTAAACGGTCTCGAGAAACATTTATACTTTGCTGGCATTTGGTGGTGGAGGGCCCGGTGGTGGCTGGTAGGTCCGATCGACTCCGTTGTGATACGCATTCGGCGGTGACTGCAACTCGATGCCCGTTTGCTGTCCTCCAAAGTAGCCGTAGGCTTGCGGTTGGGGTGTATACTGAGGCGGTGGTTGATGCTGATAATGGGGGTCTGCATAGTAAGGATGTTGATGTTGTTGTCCGTAGGGAGGCGGGCCAGCAAGCCATGCTGTGCCCGGATGAGGTTGAAGGCCGCGAGTGCGACGGCGGCGAGCGTTATAGCATCTAGCAGGACGTTAGCTTCATGCAACTGGCTCGGATCGAAGGCCTCCGCCAAGGACGGGAGTGAGGGACATACGCAAAAAGAAAGAATATGATAAAAGCACAGCCAACAATGACGGCAAACGCTACCCAACGACCCCAGTCATACCAGCTACTCGGCCTGCAGACCCAATCGCCCCAGGTATTATATCCACTACAAAGACACTGTTAGTTTCGTTTCATTCCATTGACCACATTACCGTCATGAATGTTGGGCTATGTAACTCACCACTCTCGGCGGGCGTGAATGACACCCATCGTGGCTGAAAGGCCTCTTTATCCCAGGCCGACTGTAGAGCGGATAATGACGTCGATCTCAGAGATGAGAGCTTCTGGTGCTGAGGAATCAGCAGAGTAAATGGGTAAGAACAAGCTCAGCGATCTTCTTGGAATGAGAGCACAAAAGTCAAAGAGCTTTTCGATCCGAAGGAAAGATTTAATCGAGGGACCAATGTAAGGGGAGAAAAGGAAGTGAAGTTCTTGTACGTCTGAAGGCAGCAACGAAACCGCAGCAGGAATGGCGCGGGTAAATTATGGAGACAATGAATGGACCTTTTGGTCCTTACTCAGAGTGTGGCTGGTGCTTGGCGACCTTACGCCGCCCAGTCTGTTTATTTCTTGGGTTACTTTTCCGGTGGGTAACCGTAGGATTTGGTAAGGATGCGCAATAGGGCTGGGAATCGAAGAACAGGGGGGCTAATTAGATAATGATAATAAAAATAATAATAATAAACATAAAAAGAAAAGGGGAGTTCTCTCACACCCAGTGGAGTAATGTTCAATTTCTTCGTATATAGGGCGTTTTATACTGAGCCCATTCAATGTACGTAACCTCTCACAATTCTCTCTAATACTTCACCGCATAACTATGGGGCATTCCGAGCGGCAAGCGAAGACGGCCGACATTATAGCTCGCCTCGGTACTGGATATATAATCATGGTCTAAGCCACCAAACACCTGACTTGATTGTTTTCCTCCGCGTGAAAATTAAAAAGTTCGATGGTTTATGATTTGCTGTCTGGCTTTGCCCGGTTACTCGGATGAGTTGTTAGTTTCAGTTTCCGTTCCTTCATAACGCTCAGCATCCGCTAGTCTCGTGATCAAGTTGTGCACAGCCTTTGATACTAGTCGTAGACTCCAGGCATTACTAGAATTTTGAATGCATGGTGAGCATGACATCTCTTAGTTATTGGTCAGTATCGCGCAGACTTGACACTGGTGCGGTCCCCGTGAAACATGCGAGATATATCTGTAGGATTGTCATCTATCGAAAGCGAAACACAATTGAGCTACTGGCAACCTAACTACTACGAAACGATGCATCTTGAGACGGAGATTGATAAACCTAGGGAAGAGCTCTTGGCTGTCGGCAACACCTGGCTGGCTATGTCTTATGATTTTCGACAGATCATGGTATCACACTGGTATATGTAGGTATCCAATACTACTAGTGAAAACATGTGACATGTATATCAACCAATTTTCTAGCGAAGTCGAACGGATAGAAAATGAGCTAGAAACCGAGACGGATTTTATATTTTAACTCATGTAAAACTGCAACAAATGATGGTTCGCTGCAGGATCAAGAGCGCCCGCCAAGATATATTAGGAAACAATTCGCAACTCAAGCATTTCTGTATACCACTAGACCTGGCTCATGTTCTTGCTCATATCAAGAGTATTATATGATAAGAGATCATTGCCTGGCCCGGGTATATTAAAGTCTCTATGGGTAGATCACAAGATGCTGCAAATGATGAAAGAAAAGTACACTTGGGACCCAATTTTTTTTTTTCCATTTTCCATTTATCATTGAAAAACTAAGGTGGATTTGGACCTGTAACCTGTACTTGGTCCAGGTCACTCCACCCATAGTAAATGACTATCAAGATCACCAGGCCATCAAGCAACCTTAGCCGATTGGCAGGGATATGGAGTAGACAATGATTTGCTCATGACTGGGTGGTCTATGAATAGGATCCCAGAAGCCTTTGAACTTTGGCAGGTGTTGTTGGCGGGGTTGGATTTGCTGGTTCGCATGGAGGGCTTGATTAGTTCCCGTCTTCGCATCTGCAATGCCAACGCATCGGTTGGTCTGTGTGCTCTGCTCCAACACGATCCTCATAAATAAGACAGGCGCCAATGTCTCTTTTGCCCCCCTCCCCCCCACTCGCTTCCTCTTCCACAGCTACTTGGCCTTGTCCTTGACTTTGTAACTAGGATTTACTACATTATATATCTCGGAATAGCCCACCTGAGTCAATGTTCATATTCGGATCTCCTCTCCAACTCACGTCTCTTCCATCTCAGACGTCATATAATCCAAAAGCCACTCACTATGAGATTGGGAATCAATGTCCCCATAATATAAGCCCACTAAAAATTACATAGAAACAGGGGTCATCATGCAACGAATGAAATTAACAAGCCGTGAAAGAGAAGCTGAATGAGCGCACGTGCTGAGGCCAAGAGGCAACAAAAAGCAAACAAGACAAAGAAAGAAAGAAATCAACATCAATGACGCTAAAGTTTAATGTGCCTGGTTCACATCGTCAACATCATTACATCGGAGGCTGCAATCCAAGAGGTTGAAAGAGTCTACAAAAGTTTAGGCCCGCGGCCTGGAAAGGAAGGACGAAGCAGGTGCTGTTTCCCGCGACATTCATCGACTGGCTTTGGCGATTAACCAGTGCAGAACAGCATCAAGGTTAGTCTCTTCTTTGGCACTGATTCCATAGCAGCTCACTTCACGATGGGTAATGGATTTCAAGTCCATCGCATCAATCAGCTCATCGACGGACAGCTTATTCGGAAGGTCGGACTTATTCCCAAGGACCAACAGCGGAATACCTTCAAGAGTGGGCTTGTCCATCAACTCGTGCAGCTCGTCTGTGGCGACCGGAAGTGCAGCGCGGTCTGCTGCATCAACGATGTACCTGGTCCGAATGTCAGAATAGTGACAGCAGCAGTGGGTCCTGTTCCAGAGAGGACAAAGAGGTGAACTTACACTATCGCATTTACACCGCGGCAATACCGCTCCCACATTGGTCGGAACCGTGGTTGGCCTCCGAGATCCCAGCTAGATGAG